ATGATGCTTAAAACATCAACTACTCATCTTCTTTCATCTCAGAAATACCAAGCCTTTTCATAACTGAAATCCTGAAGGAGCCAGGAGCCCCATGGACTCCACGAGAGGCCTTATTACTGCCACTCAGTTTTCCATGGAAAGTACTCAGCCACAACAGTATGTGTCCTAACACAGTCAGCTAAAGAAATATTTGGAGGAAAATTGTAGAAAAGCTTGACTAGAATACATACTTGTAACCTCTTGTGAATTTGCTGTGGTATTCCTAACTTACCACATGGAGCTGTGTACTAAATAAAATCACTAATTTGGTGGCTAGTCTTAAATTCTGCTGCATGAAGCTGCTCTGTTGTTTTGTCACAGCTATGGCCCTGTTTTCTCTCCTAATTTGTTGTGCTTGCTCAGTGAAATTGAATCCCACGTCATTTCAGGCAAGTCTTGGAGAAGTTGTTTTCCTCAGTGCAGATGGCTCTGTCCTCCAGATGTGACAAGCAGCTAAGAGTGGCCTCATTTTTTTTCTTAACCCCTCTGCCCTTCTTGAAATCACACTGATGCTGTGGCCTCAGTAGTACTGTGGTTCTTGCCCCATATCCAATTTTCCTGTGACTATAAGCTGTTGTGCATGTCAGTCACAACATGCATCACACAGGCTCCTGTTACCTAATGTAGGTTGCTTTGTTTGGTTTGGTTTGTTTTCTTGTCTGTTTTAATGAGGATAAAGTAAAATTCAAGAGCATCGTGGCCACTGGGAGATGTCCCCCCGCAAGCTTTTGTGGCAGCTTATCTCCGGTGAGGTTGCAGCCCTTCGTGTTTGTGGCTGCAAATGTTCCAGCCTTGCATCTTCAGCCCAGAGCAGCCAAGGAGAACCTGTACCCTTGCCATTTCCCTTCACCCTGTTTGTTTCACTTGGGAACACAATGAGCTGTCAAAATTTCCTGCCCTGTTTCCACAGAATCCTTCCTTTTGCTCCAAAAAGGATTATTTATCTAAAACTGCTAATTGCATAAATTGTCAGAACAATTGTTTAGCTTGATTTTAAGGTGGAGAGCAAAGAGATGTAAAGGTCTGGTGAATTAATGAAATTCACCTTCAAAATCCTCTGTCAAAGCAAAAAAGAGAGTCTGGTGTGTTGCCATGAATGACCCTTGCCTCTCAGAAATTAAAAATCATGTGGCCTGGTGTACATCTGCTGCAATCTCTATTTTTAGTATCTCTGTTGAGTGCATTTGGAGGTAATTAAAAGAAATAGGGAAGAATATAGATGTTTTCCAAATAAGTGAGCCAAGAAAAAATGGAGGAAGGCAGGTGTGGTTGATTTAGCCCATCGCCACTTCCTAACTAATCTTTCTCTAATGATGTAGAAAGAGACTAGGTGGCACCTGGCGAAGTATTTAGAAATAACAGATTCATGAGGTAGAGCTACTTGATAACATCTTTTACTCATCAGAAACTTGCCTTCCCTGAAGGTAAAGTTAATAATCCTTGAATATAAGGATTTTAGTTGCTTTTACTAAGTCAGCAGGGTTGTAGATTTATTCTGCATATAGATTCCTGTAGTGCTAGAGACACCCCAAACTTTTATTATCTTTAAAAAACGTTAAAGGACACAAAAAGCTGATTGGAATAATCAGTAATTTTCCATGACTTCAAGTCCTTGGCTTTACTGGTTAGGTAAAACTCATTCTTATTTTCTTAGTTTGAAGAACATAGAACTGCTAGCAAGTTTACCAATCATCATGCATAGCCCTTAACTATTTCACTTCATGTTTCAGTGTGTATAAAGCCCATGCCATCAGCTGCTTCAATTGTTTTCATCTGCTTCAGAATAATATTCTTCTGATCATCTAAATGTGGTCTTTTCCTGCTCTGCCGCTTATCAACAGTAGGCATTACTCCAGGGTGATTTTCCTTTTATGAGACGGCTCTTCAGTGCCCTGGTCATCTTCATACCACTTTTTCCAGGAGGAATTCAGCTTTCTCAAGAGACAGTATTTCAGATGAACTTATACCAAGTACTTGGACTAATGGCATCAATACCTCCTTTGCTTTCCCTTTCTTTACTGGAATTACCTTGCCTGTATAGGGTACATATGTATCTGAGTTGACTACTTCTGTAGGAGGTATCAGCAGCACCATGACAGAAAGCTAGACTACCAGTAAAACGAAAGTGGAAGCTGCAGGTAGCTGGGCTGTAGATCAGCTGGGGCTGAGAAGATCATAGTATCAGTGAACTTTATTTAAAATAGCTATAACTGTATGTGCCTGGTATCTCCTAGCATTGTCTTATCATCACATATCACTAGTGCTCTCCTAATTCTATGTCAAGATCATCAATAAAAGATGTTATTCCCAATATGAATCTTCTAAAGATCATGCAGTAATTGTTCCCAAGGGAAAGCTTTCTTTCAGTGCGCCTTGTTAGCATCTTCTTACTTTTAGTCTTTTCCAACTGCCGTTTTTGTACTCTTCTCTTCTATGTTTAACAAAGTCCATATGGTTTAAATATCTTGTCTAACAGTTAGCTATTTTATTTGAGGTAATTAAGTATCAAATTTCGTCTTGTATTATCTACTTTTGCTAAGCTCAAACTGTATTTTCTTCTATGTTGCAGTTGTTTACCTACTTTTAGTATTCTCTTCCTCAGAATTTGGGGTCATTACTATTAAGATCAGAGTTAGGCAATTTTTTTGATATTTATGTGTATGATTTTGTTATTCTCTAGTACTATGGTACCTGTCTTGATCTGATAGATATATTATTTCATGTCAAGAAAGAAAATCAGTCTTTCTGGGTGTACAGTATCATATGTCTTGGAATTTTTTCAGATTTGTGGAGTTTGAATTTCTCTTTTTTCAAAGTATCTGTTGATTTAGTCACAAGTGACATGTTTATCAGTGTGTTAATGCAGGAGATTATTTGCAGTTTCCCGTAAATTCATTGGTGTGTACAGAAAAACAAAAGCCTCAATCAAGGCGTGCTCTGAATTTACACCCGTTCTTAATTTGCTGATGCTTGTATTAGTGACAGGCTCAAGCCTGTCTGATTTTTTTGGGTTTATATAATGTGTACCATATGCTTGCCGTTCTTACTCTTTCTGCACGCATCAGCCAATCTGATGGGTCTACCTGTGGCAGAGAGCAGCACTTTTAAGTCAGGGTGCTGCCTTATGAGCTCTGACTCATGGGTGCTGGTGAGTCTTGCTTCTTTGTTTTACAAGCTCTCCAGCTTTTTTGCTCCCCTCTTCTACCCTTTAACAGAAGGATCGCAGGGGAATAGGTTTATATACCTCCATTGTCACAAATTGCACTTGATTTTAAACTGCTGATGAAGGTAGATCCACGTTATTATCATACCTTTGCAGTGCAACAGCTGAAGAGCAGGCAGAGGTTTGCACCTCCTACCCCTGATATTAGGAGGGGTAAATGGGATCAACAGCAGCTTGTTGTTGTTTTGGGGTTCCTTACAGCCAGTGGTTGGCAAGCAGGAGCCGAGTACAGGGAACACGTGTTCTGTCTCTGAAAACAAAAAAGCAAAGTGAAAGTAAGGAAGTGAGAAAATACATTTATATTTATATTTATAAAAGTGACTGTATTTGAAATATTCTTGATTTGAGTGCACACTCCTGTGTCTTTCTTACCTCTAAGGACCCCTAGAGGGCACGGAAGTTTTTTTCCACCTCGAATATTTAACTTAATAGTTCTGCTTGGCTTTCTTCCCTTAAACATAATTGTAAGTACATTTTAAGTGAACATTAGATAGGAGAAAAAATGCAGTATCTAACTAGGTCCTTCTTTAATGCTGCAAGATGGTTTTTTGTTTTTAAACACAAGCAGTAGAAGCTAGCACTAGCAGCCAAATTCTTAAAATATTTTCATTTAGATTAGTTGGATGCTATATTCATATCCCAGAGTAAGCACAATTCAAACTAACTAATAGTTCATAATTTTATTGCAAACTTTGAGAAGCCTACAGTGTGAGCTGTCTGAGGACGTGCAGTGTGTGTGCTTTTAACGCTATGGCCTATGTTTCTGGAGAGGAGGAATTGGTATTGTAAAGAATTAGGGAACTCTCACCTGAACCTCTAAAACCTCCAAACTTCATCTTATTTAACAGATTTTAATATTTTGGTTTTGTTATTTGCCTATAAAGAAAATACTAAATTACAGTACAAGATGTTTAAAGCAATGGAAAGGTAAAAGTGACATCTGCTTCCCACTACTTCCTATCTCCTTAGAGTGAGTTTTTGTAACTCATTCATTCCAAGTAGTATTTTTCTTCTTAAATGAGTTTTGCCTATTTAATCAATGTTACATGGTCAGTCAGTTGCCAATCAATGTGAATTACACAGCAATACTAATTCTTAGTATTATGTTGTCACTTTATGATATTTAAATATACATTCTCAAGCTCTGGAGTAATGCTTACCTGAGAACATTAGGTTTCACTTAAGCAGCTTTGGTGTTTGAGGAGAAGGCTGACATTTTCCAGAATGCTCAAAGAGCAGTAAGTAAAACAAAAACAAACAAACAAACAAAACCTTTAAAAAACCCTTCATATTTTGTTTGGTTTGGGTTTTTTTTTTCATCAACTCATGATTTTGAGACTGGTCCCATAGCTTTGGAGGTCAGGTGGACTGTGAGCCTACTCCAAGGTTGAGACCTTTGTGTGTGGTTCCATGAGAGTCAGAACCCAACTGGCCTTGTCTGAGCTTAAATAAATGGATCTCTACACTACTCCTCAAGCAGTGAGAGTCTACTTACTGGTCTAGAAGCTGTTCAGTTGAAAAAATATGGGGTTTTTTGTGCCTTTGTTCTGATAAGAGGATCAGCTCTACTGCTTTACCCAATTACCCAGGGTTGTCATGGGAGATTATTTTCTGGACCTTATTTTTCACACCGGAGGAGCATAACTTCACCACTTTGAATAGAAAATAGATCTAGATCTAAACAGCAGAGAAAGGCAGCTGCCCCTTCTAACGTCTCTGGGGATTTTGTGTTTTGCAGGAGATGCACGGGTGAGAGGTCAGACAGGGGTTCTCTCCGAGCGCCGCGGCTCCTACCCGTTTATAGACTTCCGTCTTCTTAACAGTAAGTGCAACCCTTCCTTCGGGTCTATATGTATAAAAAAAAATCTACATTGAAAGTATAGAAACCCAAGTTTCTCATTTCATACAGACCTATAGTTCAGCTGTCTTCATACAGTCAGCATTAATAACTCTATTATTCTCACTCAGTGTTTGACTGTGAATTGTTTTGATATTATGAATACTGTCCATAAAGATGAATCTGTCGAGTGAATACAGTAGTGCCATGGGGTGTGGTGGGGGGAGCAGAGGGTGCTTGAGAATTAAAAAGATAAACCTCTGTATCCTTTAGCTTCTTAGCCAACAGTTGGAACAGATTTATGTGGGTCTGTTATCCGGTCATATAGAATTGGCACAGAACGGGAGCATGTGACAGCACTGACCAGTGGTTTACAATAACATTAATTTTTCCAACAATTAGAACCCAATCCAAAGCCCCATGGAGTCTTCTCATTGACGTCAATAGATTTTGGGTCAGGCCAGCAGTGAACATCTGTTAAAAATAATCTTAACCTCATTTTGATTGAAGTTCTTTTGCCACTGCTGGAAATAAAGGAGGGCAAATCTAAAAGGAAAAAAAAATAAATCAAGATCCTGGGGTTTTTTTACACGATGGATTATCTATACTGATGTGGACCCACTAGCCTGTCTGTAAAAAAAAAAAATATAAAAAATAACATAAAATTAAAAAACAGAGAACTCTTAGTCTTGGGCCCTGTAGCATTCAGTCCAGATGCTGTGTTAACTCCAGTGTTAAGACCCAGGCAGATCTAGACATGTCCTTGTGTACTGCACAGACCACTCCAGCCAACCTTTGAAACAAAAGTTATTCACTGTCTTCATCAAAACAGACTGAAACTCTGACATTTTGTTTAGTGATGACACTTTTAAGCTTATAGCAATTATGCTTTTCATTAAAAAGCAATTATCAAACCAAAGTTTTATGACTCTTTTTCGTAACCGCTTGCCCGAGTGCCTGGGGAAGGGGAGGGAGGTAGGTGGCAGGGAAGGGGGAGGAAGACCAGCAAATGAGGATGAGGTCTGGCTGGGAGTCAGCAGAAAAGAGGGGCTAATAGGAAGGGGAGGACTTGGGCTCTGATTGACTGCATTTTCCCAACTGTCAAAGTTGCTGCTGCCTGGCAAAGTGCTTGCTTTCAGTCTTGCTGATAAAAGGTATTTCCTAGGTCATAAGTCCATCAGAGTGCTTGCTATGGCTGAGGTAGAAAGACATAAGGAGTCAGATGGGTCCAGCAGTTTTGGCAGGACAAAGAGCAAATAACATACTGGTTAGGCAGAGCTTTGAGGACAATTTAGTCCTAGCTTACCAATGGGAGATTGGACTAGACGATCTTTCGAGGTCCCTTCCAATCCCTAACATTCTGTGATTCTGTGAAAAATGTGAAGGAAAAACAGTCTAGCTGGAAATACTACTGTTGATGCCCTTATAATGACTGAGAGAAGATAAAACACTTCTTTTCATTCATAAAGAAGTTAATATATATTCATATTTGAATGTGACTAAATTATTTCCTTTTATTTTGAATACATAGACATTATTTAAAATTCTCATTGTGTGTTCTTTCCTCTCCCTGGTTAAAGAAAGCAAAAACTTTTGAGCTCTTTTTTATGGCAATAGAGCTTTCACTTTTATCCCCTGTAGATTAGTCCTGCCATCCTTCAGATCCTGACAGCTTCTGGGAAGTGCTGGTGCTGTCCATGGGCTGTCTAGGGAGAGATCCATGGCGAGAGACATGCTGGTGAATACTTAGCCTTTGATCACACAAGGAGCAGGTCACTCCACACTACCTCTCTCTCCTGTAACTGCTAAACTTAAAAGCGATGCCTCTCTTTGCAGAGATGTACCTCTGGGGTTTTTATGTTCCTGTACTCTCTGTCCTGGGCACTTCTGACTTATTCTTTCTTTTTACTACTTTTCCATAAGTGAAAAAGAAGTCACTATGGATGATCATGATCTCTGCGCAAGGAAAAGCAGTGATCCTGATTTTGGATTTTCCTTTGTTTTCAGTTTTTTGTGTATTTACTGCTTTCTGCCTAGGGAGTGATGTTAGTTTAATTTTTCAGTGCAAAATTAAGTGAGATTTCTAGGCACTTGACTACTAATTTTGTAGATGGCAAGTGCACTGGGCCTGGCTCACTCGGTGACCTATAGATAAATGAAGATGCTCAGTGTCAGAGCATGCAAACGTGTCTTTTGCCAGGAATTAAACACACTTTTATATTATTTGTTCATATATGTCTATCTGTGAAATTCATTTCCGCTGTGCATACTGTATAAGCAGCAAAAACAGTGGTGCTACACATCCTGTCATAAAGGAACATATATAAATGTCACTGCTGCAAACTTGTTTGAGATGTGCCTAACATACTTACAGTAGAATTTTGGCACCATGTGGCATTTGTTTGGGGGCAATAACTGACAGGCAGCAACTGTTATAGTAAGGGAGGGCTGAGGCAGAGAAAAATTTCTGGTAAATATCCCCAGAAGTTATAAAGAAATGTATTATAACCATTACTCTAGCTTCTCACTAATTCAGACAAACTGAGCTTAAATAGTGGTAGTTCCCTTTACCATCTGAAATATTATTCCAAATAACAGTACCACTCTTGTTTTAAAGTAAGGGAAAACACTGAAGCTCATTCTTGAACAGAGTTGACATTCATTTTGAAAACTGACATTTAAAAAAAAAATCAGGGCATTGCTATTTAATGTCAGACTAAAGGTTACTTAAATGTAACTTTGTTAACATACCCTACAGTTTCAGTCAAACCAGTGGATTTTTCCCTACTATGGCTATTAAGGGTTAACACCGAGTAGATCATATCTTTTGTTTTTTTCTGGAGTCCTGCAGTAAAGTCATTGGTAACTTAAGACACTGTTAAGTCTTTTTTGGATAGGAAAACTTCCTGCACTCTGAAAATGGGATCTTCTGTGGCCCTAATCAAAGCCAACTGGATTAATGTTAGCTTCTTGCTGTTTGAGCTAATGTCTGTGATGCCATTTACACATTCCTCTGATGCCTCCCTGCAATATATAGAAGGTTATTGAGTGTTATTTCACCGTGTCAGTGCCAGGCTGTCAGGACTGTGAGGATTTTACGGGATCTTGTCTGGGGGAGATGCAAGGCTTTAGCATCTTCCTGTCCTTTCTCTGCCTAGTTGCAAGCTTTGCTGGAGGCATAGTTACACTGGTGGGTTTTGAGACTCTTAAGTTGATTCTGAAGTGCAAAATTGAATGTAAAATATGTCCATGTCACCAAGAACTCCTCAGTTCTGCATTGCAAGGAGTGTATATTTGCTTCAGCCTTTTAAGTCAATCCCTGCAGCTTGTGGAGACCTGCCTGACCAACCAGCTACTTGTTTGTGTTGATGGTATTGAACCAGAAGCTTGGGGGGGAAGCTACGTAGCAGCTCCTCTCCCGCAGAAGGCTGCGGCAGCTGCTGTTTGTTAGCCAGCCAGCCCAGTGTGAAGACCCCCAGGTGGGAAGCTGACCATCTCTTTCCCCATCCTGCTATAATAAGGCAAGAGGGTCGCCTGCTCATGATGGCCGCAGATATACTCCCCCCAAAAAATAAGCTGGACGTGTTAGACCTGAGGCTCTATGTTCACTAGGGTACTTATGAACAAATACTCAGATTTTAGAAACTCCTAACCTAGAAGGTACAAGTTTTACACAACCCTATAGGTTTGTAGGAAAACAGGGAAGGGCTTTCCTCTTCATGCAAATAAGGCATTCCTTAAAATGGGAGCAGTAGAATTAAAAAAGACATAGCATTGGGAACTTATTTTCCGGAGGGAGCAATGGGATGGAATACACAAGTGTTGGGTGCCATCAAGCAGCTGAATACAATGTATAAATTATGTAAGATTGATTCCAAACCAAACCTCACAAATTTTAGGAAAATTTGGCTCTGAACTCAGTAGCTCTAGCTTGTAACTGAACCTAACACAGATTGAAATTAGTGATGGGAGTTTGTTGTCACTTCTGCATTTTTGTGAATTAAATTAACCTTTTTGAGTTCACAGGAATATGTGCAGTGTAATAATTTAGAATTTGAAAACACTTCAGCGGTGAAAATTAACTTGATACATTTTTCCTTTAAGCAAAGCACAGTTTGGATTTGAAATAAAAACTTGTAGGGTAAGGTAGCAATAATTTAGTTCTCTGACTGACAAAGTTGCTCAGTGAGTCATTGAACCAGATCCCTCCACTGACTTATATGCATTGACTAAAATAGATTTCATTATCCTGTGATGAGTTGTGCTGGTGACTGTGGTGGTACCTTTCTTCACTGCATTAAACAAAAGTCTGAGGGAATTCCTTGTGACAAATCTAGAATTGTAGGTAGGCAGGTAGCAATAACCAAGAAGACCTCACTCTGCTCCAATTATATTGGTTACTTTGTTTTATTACCAGATGAAATTAAGTAGAGGAACAAAATAACATAGTTTACATCTGAGATTAGTAATTTATTATTTATACATTTGCTTGTCCAGCTTTATGTTAGAAGAGAAGGACATTCTTAAAACTTAAAGAGTGGCTCTTAATTTCCCATCTTGTTGATGACAAGCTTTTCTCTGGATTGAATTTTTGCTTCCAAATCACAAAATGATTAGCCTCTATTTGACTGTATTTAAATAGGTCCATCATGGAGGAATATAATTAAAATTGTTTCTGCTTTAACTTTTCCTGAAAAATTCTCTATTAGGGACACTTTGTTTTTGTCACAGTATCAGTCATACCATTGCTTTTGTTACCTTGCACCCACTTGCTTTCAGTAAGCCATCCACAGTGTTTGATACAATTCACTTCTCTGTATATTGATCTAGGAGGAATAACAAGGAAAGGGAAATTATGCAAAGTGAAGTCTCTGTCCCAAAACGGTGTTACCCAAAGAGATTTCTGTTTCATTGCACCTTGCACAACAGGAACATAGAGTGGGATGTGAGAATATCTAAAAAGTCAAAACATGTTTATAGACACT